TATTTTATTATTTTTATAACTGAGATTTTATTAATAATTAAATTGGTTTAACACACAATATATATATATTTTACTTTGAACATTTTATATCTTGATATTGAGTGGAAGATGAAGTTTTATAACACCTTATCAAATTTTTTTTCAAAGGTACTATTCTATGTATTTGCCTCGTGCCTGGAATGGTTTTAGCATTTTGAAATCTTCGTTTTAACTTTTTTTCATGTTCATTAACTTCACTTGTAGGAACGAAAAAGTATTTTATTCCTGTTATATTTTCAACACAAAAATTGTACATTGTTTCTGGAGTTAATATATTATTTTCACGCACACTCTGTATACTATGCTTAGTAACTTTTCTTTTTGTTGTGCCACCAACAGNATGCTTAGTAACTTTTCTTTTTGTTGTGCCACCAACAGCATCACTTGCATTTTTTCCGTGGCAGGACGCAAAAAAATTCCACTCAGCTTCAATTCCAAAATCTTCACTATGATAGCTTATATTCATAAAATTTTTTTTATTCTTATATTGACTGCCGGCACCGTCATTAAAATATATAATTTTTTTTGTTAAAGGACATATTGTCTTTAAATCACTTTTTGAAATGCATGTACTGCTACCGTATTTATTTTAATATTAACATAATCTTTTTTACCAGGGCAGATCCTACTATTTTCATCTTCGTCATAAAATTTTAAAACGAGCTCAACTATTTCATTACTAATAACATTAGTAGTTTTTTTTTGGAGTTGAAGTAAAACTCCTTCTTTTTTAACTAACTCAAGAGTTGTTCGAACCATATATTCGGAGCAAAGGCGTAATTTTGGTATAAAGCAAAATTGGTAGATATAAATTTTGTGCACTTAAATGTACAATTTTTGTGTTGAAAATATAACAGGAATAAAATACTAATTAATATCTTAATCGAAATAAAGTTGAAACTCATAGACGACCAGCCAGTGATTTATTGACCATACAGATTATTGTAACATAGTTCAACGTGATCATGGTTAAGGTTAAGGTTCTTAAAGATGTTAACATTGTCAAGGATAGTATATCTGAGTATACTAGTCTGATCATTTTGGTTATATAAAAACTAGGGACTACCGAATATGTGGTAATAATTGAGCGTTCAATAAAAAGACAGTTAGCAAACAAATATGCACTCCCACGGGTCAATGAACAATTAGATAGATTGTATGGTAATGAATATTTTAAGAAAACTGAATAGTAACAATACAATATTTTGTCTTAGCCTAATATTATATTGTTGAGGAAGTGATGGAAGGTAGAGTGGAGTCGGAGGGAATCAGACTGGGAGTAGGTAACAAAGTTGCGACTAGAGTGCGCTACATAATTAGTACTAAACTAAACACTTGAAATGAGCATATACGTAAGAATGTAATGTAAATTTTTACCGAGATTAATTTATTTCATTAGCAATAATTTGCATTTCTTATGGAATCCCTAGGACAGCTGCCCCATGTAGCCGCTTATGTAGATACGCCACTAATTACGGTTGATGAGTATACACAGTGTGGATAGATCTTTTTTTATAAGAAATGCTATTTTATTCCTTACAAAACATTTTTATGGACCAATAAAAATTTTAAGGCAAGTACTTTTTGAGTTACAAGCGTTTTAAAAGGAATGTAGGTGGAATATGGATTATATATAGAAAGGAAGGAGCTCAATTTTACCTCCCACAATCACAAAATTATTTTTATATAGCAATGCAAATAATTTTGCTAAATTTTTGAAAAAGCTTTAAATGTAAACGGATCGCCAAAACTAAACTAAATCTCCTAACTCTATCACTCTACCTTTAATGATTCTTATACCAATAATTACTTCAAAATATAAATTATCTAATATCAGTACTCATATATCTAAAATTCAACGTTACATGCATTTTATTTATTAAACAAAACAAAAAAGGAATAAAATAGTTTTTCTTCTGTTTTATTTTTTCACATAAGAAAAGTACAGTGTTTTTTTATATCTCTAATTCAATATAACACCGTTATATTGTTTTAAAATGTAAAATCAGAATTAAACTTTACAAACACAGCATGAATTTTTTATTAACAAGAAAAACTAGAAATAAAATATATGGATGTTAGCTGAGTGTTCATTACAGAATCAAATTAAGTAATTTTATACTTAATATTTAGTCACACAATAGTATCCAAGATAACAGATATTGGTCACATAATTGAATTAAAACGATTTAGTAGATACTGAAAATTCTAGTAAAATTAATATCTTCTCCACTTCGCATTGAAAAAAGTGATAGTTAATTTTCACAATTAGTTTTCAAAAAGCTTTGATAATTTCTTAAAATATTATGGTTACCTGATTTATGAAAAGAGTAAACGAACATATATTATAATAATTCCTTAAATTTGTCTAAAAATAATTTTCGCTTCAAATTTTGATTTTTGTTCAATTATCTAAGTTTTAGTAAGTTCTAAATACAACAACCAATTAAAATCCACGGTACGAGCTATTTTATTACCTATATTATATACAGTGGTGGATAATTTTTGAACAATAAAAATATGCTTGGTATAATTTTATTTTGTTTATTATTTCATTTTTATATAGTTTAAGAAATTCTACAAATATAATATTTGATATAGGCTGAGTGATGCGAGGCGCCAACTATAAAACTATCTATATTACACTCTCTCTTTCTTAAACAAATGAAATAATTTTATTTTTGATATTATATCACACAATTGGTATCCAAATATATAGATTGAAGTCATTATTTTTTTTAGTTATAATAAATATTCAATTAAAATATCAATATTCATTCTCTTTAATCATTAATAAAATAAAATTGATCATTACTAATATTTNTTTTTGATATTATATCACACAATTGGTTAGCCATAACAAATTTTATTGAACAAATATGCTCAAATCATTCATTATTTATAAAAAATTATTGGTAAATTAGTAAGAAATATCTATATATTATTGGTTACAAAGTTTAAAACTTCTTTGTCTCTCAATTATTATTATCTAGTCTAAAACAATTCTATTGTTTCCACACTGAGTTTTTTAAAGCTCTCTTATGCTTCATATTAATAGGACTAACTTAACATAATTTATTTAACTAAGTACAAGTAAGGATTATCTATTCATGTCTTTACAGATAATTGAAATCCGATAGACTGTTATGAGAAATTTTATTTTGGAAACAAAATCATTATAAAATGTATAACAAGTTTAATTTTGAAATTTATATAAATTGATTTTTAACTGAAAATATTATAATTTTATTGAATTAATGTTTTCATATCATATATTTTGAAAATTCTTAAAGTGGAACTGAACCTTTAGTTTGATCATCATCTAAAAAAAAAAAATAAAGTTTAAATAAATGACAAATTTTTAATAACTTAATGTTATTAAAAATTATTTTAAATTCGATTCTTTCTTTTTAACAAATTAACTTTTTATTTCTGATGCAAAATATAAGACCAAAAAATTTATTTCAAAATAATGTTTTAATTGGTTTGAAAAGTAAATTTTTTAATATAAAAAACGAAAGAGAATTCAGAGATATAGCTAAAATAATAATCACGCTATTTTTGAAATTTATTGAATTAAAATAAATAATTACCAATTATATCAAGATCAGCACTGCCGTCACCATACGGATTGCCTTTTTCGTTTACCAAAGGTTTACTTTCATTCTTACCTGTGAGAATATATTTTATTGAATTATTAGTATTTTCATCTTATATTTGATTTGAAGGAGCCAATTTTTAAACTTTTAAAGAATTAAAATATTTTGTAAAATTCTCAGAATACAAGTATTTTATAAAAAATAGTTTATAAATGCTTATAATATATTTGTACAATATTAGGAGAAAAATCTTAAAATATATTGTTACTCATATGTACGAATAAAGTTAATTACTAACTACATTTAATTAATAATTTTAATTTAATAATTTATTTTAATT